TCGTGATCTTGGCCAGACACTGCAGAGGGAGATGCCCAGACTGAGACCAGCGCGCCAAGGGCCAGCCTCTCAGCAGCATGCACAATCACCGCGCGGGCGCCAGGTCGACCTTCTTGAGTAAGGGGCGCGCCGAACCTGTTCCCTGGCACGCGGCGTGGTGCCCATCTGCATCCACTCGACCTGAAAACGCTGGGCCGCGGAACGCTTGACATAGCGCAGGGACGTGACATGCGACGCAATGTCCGATTCAAGGTGCATCTCAAGCTTGAGACACACGCGCGCGCGCCATGCGGCCATGCCTTCCTCCGTCTACGCTGTGGGCCACAAGGCTGGACCACGGGAGGCATCGGCTTATCAGGGGGGCCGAACGATATGAAAGGGCGTGCGCAAATGCACTTGGGGGAGCTTGTAATCTGGCTTCTTGACTGCCAAATGGACAACGTTATTGGCGCATGAAAACGAATGACAGGGCAAGCAACCCACCGGAACTGCAACGCAGTCGATCCTACTAGCGGCGAAGAAGCCCCGCGGTGGGGGGCCACAGTCCCGGCTTGCAGGAAACCGTCGCTGATGGTCGACGGGGGTCTAAGGGGTGAGAAAGGAGACGGCGGTGAAAGCAAACATCTCGACTGTTTTCGACATCCTCACCTACTGGTCCGATCGCCTAAGACTGGCCCGACTCAGCCGTGCCACTGGCATCAAACAGCCCAGAAAATAATGCGCGCGCTGCCTAAGGACGCAAGTGAGACGAGGTTGCCCCCCGCCAGGCAGCAATGTCAGTAGGCCCATGCTTGGGGCGGGGGCATGCGCAACACACGGCAGGCGCTGGTCTCCGAAAGGAGAATAACCATCAAGAGGGCAAGCAAAACGGCGGGCACTGCTGCCTTGCAGGAAAAAACAACGCGCGCGTCGGAAAAGGTTTGGCGCGAACGGGAAGTGGCGGCACAACCAGAGAAAAAGAAAAAACAATAGAGAAAACAACAAAAACACGATTTCCTTCGGGCGTCATGGGGCCGCGCGCAGCGAGGCGGACCCCAACGTGAGTTATTTGTTGAAAAACAATGGACAAAAAAGGGACCTCGCTGCATCTACCACCACATGAAACCACTACTGAACAAAGTGTGATGCCGAGAGACTCAGCCGAGATGTAGCAAACAATGCTACGCGTCGAAAGACGCTTCGCTTGGTAGTCAGCAGAGAGATGACGACATCAACAAGAAAGAGAAAGAGAGAGAGAGAGAGAGAAATATACAGAGAGAGAGAGAGAGCTAGAACCAGCGAGAGGGAGAGAGAGAGAGAGACAGAGACAGAGAGCTAGAACGAGAGAGAGAGAGAGAGGTAGAGGAAAAACGGTTAAAGGGAGCATGCTGGCACTGGCAGAGCCCACCAGCGACTTTAGCTGAACGCCCAGCTCGGCGTCGTTCAGCCCTGACGCGGTTTAAAATTGTGGCTCGCGCTCTTTACTGTTAGGAACGGGCCAAATATGGAGGGCCATGTGGGAGAGTCCGTAGCAACACACATATGTCATTCAAGTAGACATGGGACCTGCACGTGACAGTCAGGATCCAACTGATCGAGCCATGATCACCAGGCAACAGGGAAGGCCCTGATCCCGTGGCAACCAATTGCGCCCTTCAGAGGCTGGTATGTACCCGAATAAGGGCACGTGCAGCAAGCGGATCAACATATTCGTTCCGACGGTTTCCCTCGTAACTGCGCGCGCGCTGACATGCCCATAGCTGCTCGGCGGAAGCAAGTTTCACCTGAAGCTCCCCTGGCAAAGAGGTGAGATGGCCAATGAAGGGCCCATCGCCTGAAACTGGGGGGGGTGGAGACACCAATGCACAACCCATAGCATGGCAACGACCTCCTCGGCCTCCTCCAATGACTGCGATGCGCCCAACTCTATGCTTCAAGACCCGAACCCAAGCTGCCCGCAGGCCCCCCTCCTAGAAAAAAACCCATGTACCTACCTGCCCGCCTGAACTACAACGAACGCCGCAGAGGGGGAGTGTTCTTCGATTCCTTTGGAACCGTCATAGAATAGATCGGCATAGACATGACCACAAACGGGGGTATCATGTTAGGAAGAGAACGGCCGCAAGAGTTGGACAGAGGAAGGGACGCAAGTAAAGCTCGAGCTGTGTCCAAGATGTGCTGTGGGTGCGGGTCGTTGCTAGCTGCCGAACTAAACTAAGGGACCGCCTTTCATACGAATTGACCTTGTGGTGGCATGGTGCTTTGCCCGTTCCCATCGACCGCGCATGGGCGCGATCAGATCGGAAGCCGATGGCTTGGGCGGAGCCTGCTTGACGCAACGTCATCGAGAGAAAGAAAGCGTGTCCTTCCACTTGGATTTGCCAATGCTACCTTGGGCCAAAGCATCCTGACATAATCGACGAGAAAAATAGGACGAGAAACTTACCCCACAACATCGGCTCCAACGCCACCCGTCCATCGACACGATAGGCTGAAAGGGGTGGTCTGTTGACAACCTTGCCATGGCCTATGCTACACACGCTAGAAGACGGTCGTCTGCACGTCGCTGACGATGCCTGCGATGCCACGCAGGCCCTGGACCATGGCTAGACGCCGCAACGGCTGGCACACTTCAGCCGAACAGTTGATTCTGAAACTTCTGATTTCAGAAACCTGGGCGAAGCTCCGGGACGTGCCTCAAAACAAGCATGTGCAAGCTGCTTGTGGGTTGGGCTGCAGGGCCGAACGTGCCTAAGAAACGGGGCCAACTTCCCCTGGCGAGTTAGTCAAGAACTGCTGGCACTGCTTTTCGGGATGATGCTTCTTCATCAGAGGCTCGACTGTAGAAGTCGGTCGGAAGAAGTAGGGAAAAACATGAAGTAAGAGGGGGCGGATAAAGCAGATTGGGTCCAGGCCCTCCCAGAGAACAACAAGACACAGCAAGAGCAGATCGGTTCCTGACGCAGGAAAGGGCTTGAAGTAGGTTGGGATCTGGGAAGCCAAAGGACCTAGCTTCAACGACCGGCGTGTAGGCTTGGAAAAGAATGCGAAAAGAGGGAAAACAAAAACGGCAGTCGCCGCACCCAGTCCGAAGCGAAAGCCGGGACCCAACAGGGCATTTTCGGAGGCGGCCCCTCGCTCCTCGGCCGTTAGGTGGAGAAGGAGGAGGAGGAGGAGGAGGAGGAGGGAGGAGGAAGAGGAGGAGCAGGAGGAGGAGGAGGAGAAGGAGGAAGTTGAGGCGGAGGAGGAAGAGGAAGAGGAGGAGGAGGAGGAGGAGGAGGAGGTGGAGGGAAAACGGCGCTGCGAGCTTGGCTCAAAGTTTGCCCGGCGCAAGAGAGAACGATGGAAGGAGCAGCAGGAGGGGGGCAGGACCAGGAGGAAGGGGTGAAAAGGAGGAGGTCAGGAGGAGAGAGGGAGGTGGAGGGAGACAGGAAGGAGAGAGGGGGGGGGATAAGGAGGTGGAGAAGGAGAGAGAATGAGGCAGGGAGAGATGAGATGAGGGAAGGAGGGGGGGAGAGACGCTCCTCGGAGAAACGATCCCCAGACGAGGCCCCCCCAATTCAGGGCTCCACTGACCCAGGTTAATCCAAACACGGATCAGTCAGGCCTTGCAGGATCCGCAGGATCCTGCACGCGAGCCCGGGTCAATGCGCCCCTGGCCCTGCAACACCCTGCAAAATCCCGCGTTCTGGCTGACCCCGTTTGAATTGACCCCCGTCCTGTGGAAAACAGTACCGGCACCGCTACTCCCAGGAAACCTCTCCCAGGGTGCCTTCTGCCCAGAATGTCGAGGCGAATTCAGCGATAGCGACGAGGGCTCCCCAAGAGGACCCCAGAAGCGACAACGGGCGAACAGAAGCGGTAGGGGCAGCGTTTCCTCCTCCACGAGCCGGCGATGCGGCTGACCCCCGTTTGCATCGACCCATCCTCGTGCAGATCCGCACGGGAGAGGCGTCCACGGGGGAGGCGAAAGTGGAGCGCGCCCGGGGACATCGCGAAAAGGTTTTGTTGAGAGAGCAGCGGCCCCCCAAGCAGTTCTGGTGAATTGGCGTTTTTTTAATGGTAGACTGGATTGAGAGGAAGTGGAAAGATGGAGAAATTTGGGAAAGAATGGGGAGAAATTGAGATACAGTATCGCGGGGGCGACACAGGTTGACAGACATTGAAACAAAGAGGTTCGTCTGGCGAGAAACTCTAAGACAATTTGAGACGAAGAAGGTCGACTGCGGTTCAGAAGGATTGAGTTCGCTGCTGTTGTGCCGCGCACGTTTGATTGTGCTTTGAGCGCGTTCGGTTGCGCTCTGAGCGCCCCTTGGATTACTCAGCGGCGGTTTGATCGCCTGCCCCGCCTCCGCCACCTCCTGTTAGAGGGCAGAAAAACAGCTCCGAGAATAACCACCCCGACACACGAGGCCTCTGGTAAAGGCACCCAGAGCAGAAATCGAACCGGGCAGGGCTGCTTCGTGAACGCCCAGGGGCCGTTAGGAAACGCAGCTTGTTTGGTCTGGGTGGTTTTTCCTTTCTTGACGTGTTCCCTTCACAGGGAAAACGCGCGGGCCATTTTGCGACGCCTCCACGATCTCGCCCTGGGCGTGGAGGTAGGCGGTTGGTCGCCTGGCCACGTGCCGCCGCTGTGGCAGTGAATGTACATCCCTGCACGAGCGCCCGCCCTTCCGCTGCACCTCCCGGGCCGGATCGCCCCGCGGGTGCGGCCCCCCCGGGCCCGAGAAGGGCGACCACGCCCGGCGTGACACACACGCGGCGCAGGGATCTCGCGGACGCTCCAGGCGATCGACCTCCTCCTCCTCCTCCTCCTCCTCCTCCTCCTCCTCCTCCTCCTCCTCCTCCTCCCCCTCCCCCTCCTCCTCCTCCTCCTCCTCCCCCTTCTCCTCCTCCTCCTCCCCCTCCTCCTCCTCCCCCTCCTCCTCCTGCTCGAGTCCTCGAGTCCTGGCGACCCCTCCGGCACGAGGCCCCACCCCTCTGGCACGAGCGCCCCCCCTCTGGCACGAGCGCCCGCCGGCCTGGCCCCTCCGCGCCCGCCCGCGCCAGGGCCGCGGGAGCCCTCGGGCGCGGCCTCTCGGGGAAGCGCCGTCGACGTCGTCGTGGTCGTCGTTATCGTTCGTCGTCGTTCGTCGCCGTCGTCGTTCGTCGTCGTTCGTCGCCGTCGTCGTCGTCGTCGTGGTCGTCGTGGTCGTCGTGGTCGTCGTCGTCGTCGTTCGTCGTCGTCGTCGTTCGTCGCCGTCTTCGTCGTCGTGGTCGTCGTGGTCGTCGTGGTCGTCGTGGTCGTCGTCGTCGTGGTCGTCGTGGTCGTCGTCGTCGTCGGGCGCGGCCCCTCGGGGAAGCGCCGTCGACGTCGTCGACGTCGTGGTCGTCGTTGTCGTGGTCGTCGTGGTCGTCGTCGTCGTCGTCGTCTGGCGTGGCCCCTCGGGGAAGCGCCGTCGACGTCGTCGTCGTGGTCGTCGTGCTCCGCCTCCCCTCGCTTTAGATGCTGCGGTCGGGGGAGCTCGCTCGGCGGAGAGCGAGGGGGGGAAGTGAGAAGGAATAGGCCTTCTCAGAAAGCGGCGGAGCTTCTCAGAAGCCACCCGGCGTTCTGAGTTTTTCTGCGTCTTCGGGGAAGGCTCAGAAAACGTCGCAGAAGGCGGGTGGGACTTCCCAGCCTTCTGAGAAGGCTCGCCCCTTCTCACTTCCCCCCGGGGTCACCGCCGATTTGTGATGCTGCGGCTTGGAACTCTTGATTGGCGTGTCGCCGCGGCGGCCCCGGCGGCACGCTGTGCCTTGCGAGCGGATTTGGCGTGTCGCGCCGTTCCGCGGGGCGAAAGGCTCGGAAAGGATCGGCTCGCTGACGCTCGGGAGCGTGGACCTGAGGGATGGCCCCCAAGGGCGAGGGGCCTCAAACAAAGCGCATCCAACCTGGGATCCCTTCCGTACGCTCGGGAACTTTAGCATGGCGTGTCGCGGACAGCATGTCGCTCCGCTCCGCGGGGCGGGAGACTGGGAAAAGCTCGGGACGTTGCCGCCTGGGGACCGCGACGTGGACCGCGTGTCGCGACGAAACGCGGGTGGGCCAAAGCCGGTGGGGCGACGCGCTGGCCAAGCGCTCCCGGCCGCGGGCGAACCCAGCAAGCTCAGATCGACTGGGACCCTGGCGTCAGCGCGTCCCCTCGCTCCTGACCCCAGGGGAGGAGGAGGAGGAGGAGGAGGAGGAGGAGGAGGAGGAGGAGGAGGAGGAGGAGGAGGAGGAGGAGGAGGAGGAGAGAGGAGGAGGGGAGGAGGAGGAGGAGGAGGAGAGGAGGAGGAGGAGAGGAGGAGAGGAGGAGAGGAGGAGGAGGAGAGGAGGAGGAGGGGAGGAGGAGGAGAAAGAGGAGGAGGAGGAGAAGGAGGAGGTAATAAAGGAGAAGAAGGAGGAGGCGAGGGAGGAGGGAGGAGGAGGAGGAGGAGGAGAAGGAGGAGGAGGAGGAGGAGGAGGAGGAGGAGGTGTCCTCCCGCCTCCCTCCCTCGGGCTGCGCATTAGCAGCCCCCTCCAGGTGGACCTGGGTGGCATCGACAGGGCTCCCAGGTTGCCTGGGGCGGTCTCGGCACCCTGGCGCCACCTCCTGCGGCGCCCCTGGGGCCTGCTGAGCCCGGCCAGGACTACTTGGGGGGGTGCCTTGCCACTTCCCTCCCTCGTCACTCTCCCTCTCTCTCACTCTACCGCTTCGCCTCGCTTGTGCCAATACCGCGCGAGCCCAGAACAGGCCAGCCCGAACAGGCCAGGGAGCCGACAGCTCCCGAAGGTCCGAATCCGAGCCTCCCGCCGCTTCGCTCTTCTGGCGACGCGACTCTCTCTCCCCCATGCCTCCTCGTCCTCCTCGTGCTCCTCGTCCTCCTCGTCCTCCTCGTCCTCCTCCTCCTCCTCCTCCTCCTCCTCCTCCTCCTCCTCCGTCCACAATTACTCTATATGAATACTACTCTTCCTCTTCCCGTGATGGCGTGCTGGGAGTGGCCGACCCCCCCCCATCCGCGTACTGTTTTTTAAACACACAGGATTCCCGGGAGTTGGGTTTTCGCCTGCGTTTCTTTTTTTCAAAATGCTGCTCTCGCTGAGGCGCCGGCCTCATTTCTGCTCCCGAATCGTTCCGAATCGTGCTCCCGCTGCAGCGTGGGCCTCATTTTCGGATCGGTGTTTGGCCTCCGTCATTCAGGATGGCGTTCTCGCCCCAGCGCGGGCCTCTTTCTCGCGCGCCCATCGCCCGCCACCACCGCGCCGCACCAGCACCACCACCACCACCACCCCACCACTACCACCACACCACCACCACCACCACCACCACCACCACCACCACCACCACCACCACCACCACCACCACCACAACCACCACCAGCACCAGCACCAGCACCAGCACCAGCACCAGCACCAGCACCAGCACAACCACGCACACACGCACGCACGCACGCACGCACGCACGCACGCACGCGCACCACCACCCACTACGCACGCGCGCGCGGAGCCACAGGTCCGCTACGACACGCGTCCGCGGATAGAGAAAATCAGCGCCATGGTAAGGGATGGGAGGGAGGGGTAGGACGTCAGATATGACGCGAGCGCACCTAGCTTGCCCCTCCCCCCTCCCCCTCCTCCTGCCACCGCTTTCATCCTCCCTCTCGCCCTCCCTCCCCCCTCCTCCCTCGTCCCTCTTCCCTCCTCCTCCCTCCCTCCCATGCGCCGAACCGGCGCCGAAGCCAACCCCGTGGGCCCCAGACGCTGGACGCCAGAACCTAGCAAGACTCTCCGACTTTGGAGTTCTGGCCCTCCTGGCCCAAAGCTTGGAGCAGAAAACCTCGGGCGCGAGGGCGGGTGGTGGTGGATGTGGACGAGGTGGGCCAGAACACACCCCGGGTCTGGGGCCAGGCGCTCAATTCGGTAACCTTACTTGGTCTTGAGAAGCCCCGCAATAGTTGGAAACTAATCATCTGTTCGGCGACCTCACTGACGGACTGGGGTCCCACCGATAGTGGGAAATCATTACACCTCCGCGGCACCCGCCTCCCTTGGGAGAAAGAACCCCCCACCGAGAGAAGCGGGGGAATATGCAAAACGAGAGACCTCCTGGGGTCATGTTCTGCCAGGGGCCGCTGGGACGTGCTGCGCCACGCTTCGGCGGAGCACATGCAACACGTGCAGTCGCACATCGGTGCCCCTATGAAATTCTTGCACTACTGCCACGGATTTCGGCAGAGAACCTCCCCGGGATCATGACGGGGCAGGGGAGAAGAAGCGGCGAATTGAAATCTGGCCCCGGGCCGAGAGGACGAACGTCCCTCTTCTCAGAGGCCACCCGTGCGTCCCGTCCGTCCCCTGACCCAGATCCGAAGGTGCCCCGCGGCTGCCAGGAATTCTCGCTCTCGAGAGCTATTCCGCGCACGCGCTGCCGCCGCACCAGGACGGCACGAGTGAATCCGTCGCCCGTGCCCTGGAGGGGAGGACGGCCGAAACCTCGCGGCGTGGCGCGGCATGGCCCGGGAGTGGCTCTGCAACGGTTGGCGCGACCGAGCCCGTGAGCACCGCAGTGCGCGCCCAGACCCGCGCCCTGGTTTGAGCAGCGAACGACCGCCCCGGCAATTCCTGTAGGCCTACCACGAAATATACTCTTAGAAAAACTAGGGTGCTCGAGTAACAACAGTACATATATAGAAAGAGAGAGAGAGAGAGAGAGAAATATCACTGCCGACGCGAAGCGGCGGCAGCAACGGCAGGGCAGGGCGGTACGGCCGCTCCTGGAAGACGCGGTCCGTGAGGGAGTGGGCGGGACCCTCCACAGGGCCAGTCCGCCCGTGCTGGCACCCCCCGCGGGTCAAGCACAGCACCTCCCAAGACACCAGATCTCAGAATGCCGATGTGTTGAAATCGAGCGGTGTCGGCCAGAAGTGTTCCAAGAACACGTCGGGCAAACCGCACATGGTTCTGAGGGCATTGCCCGGTGGGCCTTTGACAGGCGGGCGAGCCAGGACGCTTCGCCACTGCTTGACAAGCAGGGACGGCCTGCGCCAGAGCTCTCGCCCACCCCCCTCAGCAGCCCGCCACCGTGCCACCTCCACCTCCTCCTCCTCCTCCTCCTGCTCCTCCTCCTCCTTTTCTCCTCCTTTTCTCCTCCACCTCCTCCTCCTCCTCCTCCTCCTCCTTCCCCTCCTCCTCCTCCTCCTCCTCCTCCCCCTCCTCCTCCTCCTCCTCCTCCTGTCGAGATCGAGGGGGGACGCGGGGGTGGAGCAGACCACCACTGCTCGGCGGGTGGGGCCGAGACGAGCAGCGTGCGCACCCCCCCCCCTTCGTCCGACCCGAGCATCGACGGAGATCTTTTGTGGGACGCACAGATACATACTGATATGATCTGTCCTCCTCGGGGGCGCGCGTCCGACCCCAACACATAGCATACCCATCTCGTAGTATATCGTTTCCCGAGCGGTGTGACCAGAGAGCGCCCGCCAAGGCGCGTATGCTGTAAGATTTCTCGGTGCGCGCGGCGCCCCTGGGGGGGCGACGCACATATAGTAGAAGTATGTTGGGCTGACGCCGATGTGGGTGCATGGCCCCGCAGGGCGCGTGGTGGTTTTCGGGCCATGGCTCGGGCCTCGGGCAGCCGTCCGGGGCGACCCGGACCCCCTGAGAACGCCCTCGGCGAGGCGCAGCTGCTGGAACGCATCCCGAGGCAAGAACAGCTTGCAAGAACCAACGAACGCGTCCGACTGACACCCCCGATCCTGGGCCCTGCCATTGGACGCAACCGCGGACCAGAATGAAGGCGTGGGCGCGGTGTGGGTCGCGGGTGGTTCGCGGGGGGGGGGGTTGGGCACGACGTCTCAACAACAACAACAACAACAACAACAACAACAACAACAACAACAACAACAGCAGCAGCAACAACAACAACACCACCAACAACAACAACAACAACAGCAACAATCACTTTACCCGAACGCTCAGTGTTCTCACCAGTGCCAGGGTTTTCATGCGACGCCAGCCAATACCCCCACTTTGTGGGGGGGCAGTGCAAGCTCTACCAAATATCCACACGACTCTTCGCCACCACCCACACCCAGCTTCCCGCCCTATGACGTTCGGACACTTCACTTCGTGGCCTGCGGACGACCGTGGCTACTACACTGGCGTGGAGTACACACCCATAGGGGGACGTTTTATTCTCGGCGGCCGAGGGCGCAACCTATGGCGCAACCGCAAGGGATTGTGGCCCCTGGCAGGCGCGCGAACCCCGTTGCAAGAGCGTGCGAAAGTAGCTCGCGCGAGCTCATGTAACATAAATGTTGGAAAACCATTGGTTTTTTTAGGATTCGGACAGCGCGCGCGGGTAGAAATTTTGAAAAGTCGTGCAGGTGTTTTTCGAGGACCTACGGTGCGATTCGTGTGATTTTATGATGCGCGGTGCTAAAATTCTTAAGAACCCAATGGTTTTTGGAGATTTCGGCGTGCGCGCGCGAAGAAAAAACGAATGTGTCCCGCATGGTATTATTTGACAGGGATGATGGCCCTGGCAGGTGCGCAACCGTTGTCGCAGAAGTTCGAAAAAGTTGCTCGCAAAAGCCCGTTTGACAGAAATGTTGAAAAAGTGTTGGGTTTCCTACGAATCCGCAAGAGCGCGCGGGATGAGATTTTGACATTTTTTTGTTAAAAAAACCATTGGGTTTTTGATGTTTTTATGTTGAAATCGTTCCGAAACCTAAGGTTTTGGAAGGATTTCGTCTTGCACGCGCGAATGTCCACTTTAGCTTATTTTTTGCAAGGGATTCTTGAAATTGGATTACATTTGAACAAGAAATTTCATTTTATAGTGTTTTTTGCAAGGGAAAACGGGGGGGAACAAAACAACCGGATCCGGTACTAATCCACTTTTCTGAAGCTTTCGCGAAAAAATGATGAAAATGTAGCTGCGGCCTAGGTTTTGGAGGGGGGTCGTGTACCAGGGGTCCCAACAATAATTATTCTTTAGAAGTAATAATGTTCAACAGCAAACAACAAACAACTAGCAACACACAAGCATAATCGAGGCCCAGGGGATCCCACTTAACCCATGGCCGGTTCCAGAAACCCTGAACAAAACAACCTTGACATCTCTTGAGGGCCGATGTTTACTTCCGCCGGCTTCCGCTGGCCCTCCGTCGGTGGAGGTGCCCTCGTCTTAATTACTTCCGCTGCCTTCCGCCAGCCCTCCGCCGACCTCTGCCGAAGAAGCGATGCCAACTCCCTTCCTACTCGAGGGCGAGGCCGCGTCTGGAAGGTTCGGGGTTCTGCTGACCCGGGTCAATCCAAACCCCGGCCCGTCGGGCGTTGAAGGATCCTCCAGGATCCAGCGCGCTGGCTGACCCCCGTTTGCCTTGCTCCCAGTCTTAGGGAGGCCAAACAAAACCGATACCGCCCCTCCCCAGACCTCTCCCAGGGTGCCCTCTGACTAGAATTTCGAGGCGAATCCAGCGGTGGCGACGAGAGCCCCCCCGGAGGCCCCCAAAGGCGGAAACGGGCGAAGGGCCTAGCGGTATGGGCACCTCTCCCTCCGAGATCCGACACTCTGGCTGACCCCCGCTTGCACTGACCCCCGATCTCGAGGCCCCCGAAAGGTCTCCAACGCACACTCCCCGGCGGCGCTGCCTGCGGCCCGGCCGCGGGCGCGGGCCCGCCGCCCGCGCGCGGGCCCGCCGCGCAGAGGAGCGCCGCCCACAGGCCCGAGGCCAGCGCGAGGGCCGCAGCGAGCAGCGGCCGGCAGCCCCTGGGCGGAGCGACCGCCAGCTGCCTGACAGCGACGACGACGACGACGACGACGACGACGACGACGACAACGACCACGTGGATGACCACGACGACGACGGCCACGGCGACGACGACGACGACGACGACGACGACGACGACGACGACGGCGACGACGACGGCGACGACGACGGCGACGACCACGACGGCGGCGACGATGGCGACGACGACGGCGACGGCTAGCCTCCCAACGCGCAGCCGCAGCGGGTCGCGCGGGGCCTCTCACGGCGGGGGTTCGATCCTCGCCACTCGCTGCTGGCTCCTCGCTCCTCGTTCCTCGCTCCTGGCTGCTCCTAGTCGCGACCCTCCTCTTCGCTCCTCCATTTCCTCCTCGCTCCTCCTCCTCCTCGCTCCTCCTCCTCCTCCTCTTCCTCCTCCTCCTCCTCCTCCTCCTCACCTCCTCCTCCTCCTCCTCCTGCTACTCGCTCCTCCTCGCTCCTCCTCGCTCCTCCTCGCTCCTCCTCCTCCCCCTTCTCCTCCTCCTCCTCCTCCTCCTCCTCCTCCAGCTCTTCCTCCTCCTGCCCCTCGCTCCTCCTCGCTCCTACTCCAACTTCTCCTTCTCCTCCTCCTCTTCCGACTCCTCCTCCTCCTCCTCTTCCTCCACGCTTTTCTTCCTCGGTCCTCCTCCTCCTCCTCCTCCTCAGTTTCCTGCTCCTCCTCCTCGCTCTTCCCCACTCCTCGCTCCTCCCAACTCCTCCTCCTCCTCCTCCTCCTCCTCCTCCTCATCATCATCATCATCATCATCATCATCGTCATCATCGCCAGAACCACGACCATCAGCATTATCATCACCATCATCATCACCCTCATCATCATCATCATCATCAGCATCATCATCATCATCATCATCAGCGTCATCATCATCATCATCATCATCATCATCATCGAAATCATCATCATCATCAGCATCGTCATCCTCATCATCCTCATCAGGTTCCCCCATCATCGAAATCATCATCATCACCATCATCATCACCAGCATCATCATCACCATCACAATCATAAATAACAACCTGATCAACATCAGCATCAACATCAGCATCACAAGCAGCGGCATCGTCATCAACAGCAGCACCAATCATTATCATCCTCATCATCCTCATCATCCTCATCATCATCCTCATCATCATCATCATCCTCATCATCATCGCCATCATCATCATCACTACCACGATCACCATCATCAACAGCATCATCATCATCACCAACACCAGTATCAACTGTATCAGCATCATCATTAGCAACAACATCAGCATGCCCATCACCATCACAGTCATCAGCGCCATCGTCATTGGCATCAGTATCACCATCATTAGCTGCATCAGCATCGTAAGCAGCATCATCATCCACATTATCATCATCACCACCAGCAGCATCTTCCTCACTGCCATCGTCACCACTATCATGATCATCATCATCATCATCATCATCATCATCATCATCCTCGTCATCATCATCATCATCATCAGCATCACCACCATCGACATCAGCATTATCAGTGCCATCCTCATCATCATCCCCATCAGCATCTCCATCATGATCAGCAGCATGATCGCCGGATTCATCATCAGCATCAGCATCATCCTCAGCATCACCCTGATCACCGGCATCATCGCCATCAGCAGCAACATACCCATCACCATCGTCATCGTCATCAGTACCAGGTACCATGAGCATCCTCGCCACCAGTAGCATTATCACCATCAGCATCATCAGCATCGTCACTATCAACATCAGCACGATCAGCATGGTATGCATCAGCGCCATCGTCATCATGATAATCCTTGGCATCAACATCAACATCATCAGCATCAACAACATCAACACCGTCGCCATCATCGTCAGCATCATCACCAGCACACTCAGCAGCAGCATCATCAGCAGCATCACCATCACCAATCTGAGCATCATAGTCATCATCACCACCACCACAGGCATCATCATCGCCACCACCATCACCATCAGCAGCGTCATCACCATCACCCTCATGTTCATCAACACCATCAGCATCATCAAATTCAGAACAACGTCACCATCAGCATACTCAGCATCAACATCAGCAGCATCACCATCATCATCGTCAGCATCATCAGCATTACCATCATCATCATCAGCATCATCATCATCATCATCATCAGCATCATCATCATCATCATCATCACAATCACCATCGGCACCACCATCATCGTCACCACCATCAGCGACACAATCATCACCAGCAAGCAGCATCACCAGCAGCATCAGCATCATCTCCATCATCGTCATCATCATCATCATCAGCAGCAGCATCATCAGTATCAGCATCATCATCGTCATCATCATCGACATCATCATCGCCGTCGTCGTCGTCGCTGGGCGTTCTCTTCCTCCTCTCTCCGCTTCCCTCTCCTCCTCCTCCTCCAGCGTCTCCTCCGCCTTGCTCCTCCTCCTCCTCCTCCTCCTCCTCCTCCTCCTCCTCCTCCTCCTCCTCCCCCTCCACCTCCCACTCCACATGTCCTTCTGCTCCCCCACCTCTTCTTCCCCATCCTCATCACTCGTCGCTCCTCTTCGCTCGTCTTCGCTCCTCTTCGCTTCACGCTCCTCGCTCCTCCTCCAACACCTCATCCTCCTCCTCCTCCTCTTCCTCCTCTTCTTCGCTTCTCCTGCTCGCCGCTCCTCTTTCTGATATTATTTCTCCTTCTGCCCCTCGCTCCTCCTCGCTCCTCCTCCGTCCTACTCACTCCTCCTCCTCCTCCTCCTCCTCCTCCTCCTCCTGCTCCTGCTCCTGCTCCTGCTCCTCCTGCTCCTCCTGCTCCTCCTGCTCCTCCTGCTCCTCCTGCTCCTGCTCCTCCTCCTCCTCCTCCTCCTCCTCTCCTCCGCCTCCTCCTCCTACTCCTCCTCCTCTTCCTCCTCCTCTTCCTCCTTAATCCTGCAGAGAGGTCCGCGGAGGACCCAAAAGTCCTTATCAGCACTGGGCGGTTTTACTGTGTGGCGGTATCCTGTTCCCTGAAATCCGATAGGGTTTTGGCAATTTGCACATGCTCCGCGTCCCGCTCTGTGCAGTCTGCGTGCTCAGGGCAGCCTCAGCCTGCCCTGGACGAGGAGGTACTGGTGGTTTGGGGACGATGGAGATGAGAACCACGAGGCAGTACAGACAGCCGTGCTGCCGCCGTTGCCTCCATCCCGCTGCTGGGCCGCGGGCATTGCTGTAAAATCAGATTGTTTTTTTGTTTCTGGCACTTCGGTTGGAGTGGGGCCCCTGTGCCGCTCGAGCGGGGCACGCGGCTCCATCCCGACCGTCGATACTGGAAGGCTCCAGCCTTGTCCGCTTGAAGTGTCCAGTCTAATCCTCCTCCTCCTCGTCCTCCTCCTCCTGCTCCTCCTCCTCCTCCTCCTCCTACTCCTCCTACTCCTCCTTCGCATACCCAAGCCAGCGGCTCAGCGCCAGCCGCGCTGGCACTGGCGGCGACGAGCGGGCTGCTCTCGGCACATACGGGGAACATCGCGGTGGTGCGCAGGGCGGAGCAGGGCGAGTTGCGACAACGGCAGCGCAGAACCTGTCCCCGTTTCCCGAGCTGCGTCCAACCGTGGCGACGAGGGGGGCCCCCGAAGGCCAACGAATTACCTCTGCCTCAGCTCGCCCTCCTCTGAGGTAGTGCGCAGGGGAGGGCTGGCGGTGCGCAGGGGCCGAAGAAGGCTCGGAGCCGAAACGGCTGCCGCGCGGCGCCATGCTGCCAGCAGGGCCGGGCACAAGCCCCGGGCAGCTGCGCGGGCACGCCATGCGGCATGGGCCTCCCCGCTGGGCCGCCGGGTGGCCGCCGCAAGGCCGCCTAACGGCCGCCCAACGGCCGGCGTCCAGCCGACGAAGGGGCGCCGAAAGGCCGCCGCAAGGCCGCCGCAAGCGCCGCCGCCGGGCCGTCGAACGGGCCGCGGCGAAGGGGCGCGCCGCCGAGGGCAGGGCGGGAGCAGGCAGCGTCGTCTCGACAGATCGGAGCGGGTCGACGCGCACATCGAGTCGGCCCGCCATCGGCGCGGAGGAAGCGGGACCGAACCGAGACGGCCGGGCCAGGATGCACCGCGGCGCCATGCCACAGACGCTCATATCCAGCCGCTGCTCTCCGGCCATGCCTCGGGCGACCTGGCGCCTGCCGGGCCTCAAAGCAATGCGAGGACTGGCCGCGCGGTCCGTCCCCGCACCGTCCTGAGGCCCCCCCCCCTGGGCCCAGAAATCCGACGAGGCGCTCGTGCCGAGGCGCGGCCCCAGATATCGAGGCCCCGACCCCTCCCCCCGGGGGCGCGCGCGCCCTGGAGCCGTGTCTGGGCCCCGAGAGGCCCCGGAGGCCGAACATGAGGAAAAAACGCCAGGACTGCGAGGAGGAGGAGGAGGAGGAGGAGGAGGAGGAGGAGGAGGGCAAGGAGGAGGAGGAGGGCAAGGAGGAGGAGGAGGCGGGGGAGGAAGCGGGGGAGGAGGAGGAGGAGGAGGAGGAGGAGGAGGAGGAGGAGGAGGAACATTGTCGAAGATCCGATAAGGGGGTGCACGCGCGGGCGCTCCCCAGCTCCGCGGGCGGCTCCGGCGTGCCCGGGAGGCAGATGCCCTCTCCCCGGCAGCGGCCCTCCCCGCCGCGGTGCCCTGCCCAGATCCCCTTATGGGGCCCTCGGGCGCCTCCCGGCGGAGCGAGCACGATAGGAACCACATGTGAACCCTACCCCTACCCCCCACTATTTCTGAGGGGGAGGGTGGGGTTCACTTCGCTCGGGAGCTCCCGAACGGAGTGAACCCCACCCTCCCCCTCAGAAATCGTGGGAGGCAGGGGCAGGGTTCGCATGTGGTCCCCTGCACGAGCCGCGAGCGGTGCGGCGGCTCCGCCTCTTGGGCCACCTGCTCGCACCCTGGGCGCCCAGGCCTCCGGAGGCGCGGGGGCGGTCGCGGCGCTGTCGTGCCCCGGCGTCTATAGGAGTTGGGCGTGGCTTATGGGGGGGTCACAAATGGGGGGGTCAGAAAAGGTCCCCTTTCGTGCCCCTTTCGGGCCCCTCCAGAGCCCCAGGGGGATCGTTTAGGTACCATTTGGGTACCTTTTCGGACTACACTCGCCGCTCCCCCATTTACGATCCCCCCATTGCGCAGCGCCCAAAGGAGCCTGCACTTCAGCCCTCCGGGTCATCCCGCTGGGGCCTCTCCTTTGGGCGCGCTCCGACCGTCATCTCAGGAAGAACCCAGCCAGCCGTGGCGACCAGAGCACGCGAGGAGGCCCGCAGGGTAGACTGCCGGGAGCTCCTGCTTAGCGTGTTGCGGCGGCGACCCCGGCGACACGCTATCCCCTGCAAGCGGATAGCGAGTCAATCCGCTCTGCGGGGGTGGGCGGCTGGGAAAAGCACGGGACTTTGTCGCCTGGGGACCACGACGTGGATAGCGTGTCGCGCCGAAGCGTGGTGGGCCGGAACCGGCGGGGCGACACGCTAAGCCAAAGTTCCTGACCGCAAACACGACGGACTTCGTCTCTTCTCCTCTGTCCCCCTCGCCCTCCTCCTCCATCTCCTTCCCCTCTGCCATGCCGCGAGCGCCCCCCCTTCCACGGGCCCAGCTTCTCGCCCTCTGAGCTGGCTCTTGGGCGGCCCCAGGGCCGAGGCCGAAGCGGAAAACCCCTCTCAACCTTCCTTCGACTGCACGCCAGAGTGGCCCTTGGCCAGGCACCGGCGGCCCGAGGGGCTCCGCGCCGGACCCGCCCTCTGGCACCGCCCTCGGCGGCTCCGCGTCGGCCTCGGGGCCGCCACGCGCGGCCGCACCGCCGGGCGCACGCCTCCGGGGGGCGGCCTTCTCCTCGCCGTCGGCGTGGCGCGCGGACTGGGCCGCCAGCGCGTCGAGGAGCGCTCGCCCGAGGAGGGGAAGCCGCTGGCCGCGGCTTGGTGCGCGGCTTGCAGCGCCGTGCGTGGGATGCGACCTCGGCGGCGTGCGTGCTTGGGCTTGGCCCCCCCCGCGCGAGTCCAGAAGGCCGCGCATCGGAGGTCCCTCTGGTGACTCGCCATCGCTCGGACGCCCATTCCCGGTGCATGTTCGGGCTTCGCGCGTGTAATCTTCCCTAGATGGCCCAGCATGCTTATCGATGGTCCTTGCCGAGAGAGTGCACACGTCCGAGCGATGCCAAGGTGAAGGGTGACTCTGGCGTGCAGCCGACTTCTCCCCTCCCCCTGCCCTGGAATGGCCCCATCCCCGCAGTGGGTGTTCGCGGGCTTTCGTTCTGGATTGGCTCGAGTTGTGGCTGTGCTCGGCCACAGCACGAATGAAGCGCAGAGGGCTCCGAGCAGCGCTCGGTGTTGTCACGATCAGGCCGCCTGGTTCTGCGTGTGTGATCGCCGCCATCTCAGCTTTCAGCATGCTTCCAGCCGCCTCTATCTGAAGATGCTGTCACTGTAGCGCGGACTATCATGGGAGTTGGTTTCGATTGTCGGTCATGGTAGTTCTATCCCACCCTCCATTGCGTAGTTGTCCATCATTTGTCTCTTCCTCCGTCTTCATATTGCTGGCGCCGCCCTTCCAAACAGCAACTTGCCGCAGCTCGCCAGCATCGAGAGTTTCACCTGCCGGCCGCGGCTCCGACAATTGTCGGGCCGCGCTGTGATCACAACAACTGGCACTTAAACGTGTATGTGCGCGGGCCTGGTAGTAGCACTGGCATGTCATACGACTTTGATGCACAACCGATTGGGTCAAAGACGCGATCCTCGTGCCATCGCTCGGACGTCCATTCCCCGTGCATTCGTCGCTTCTGTGCGTGTCAAGGGAAAGACAAGGAAACGTGTGATCATGACTGGATCTCCCGTAATCCCTTTTTGAATCCAGCACAAAGGAATATTCTTCTGGAGCGAGGGGAGGGGAGCGGCATGGGTACCTGTTCCACCTCTGACCGATGGTCTTCGCCGAGAACAAATGCACACGCCCGAGCGATGCCAAGTCATCAACGGCATACTTCCACAGGGGCTGGGGGGGGACGGGGAGGCCCTCCCGGGCCAGAGTCCCAAGGCGGATGCAGGCGTGGTGACGTGGGGCCTCCAAACGACAAGGCCCCCCAAAGAGGACCACGAGCCTACGAACTCCGCCATCATCGAGCCTGGACCATCGAACCTCCGCCCCAGCGGATGCAGCCGTGGTAACGAGGAGGCCTCCCAGAGGCCCCCCAAAGAGGACCACGAGCCCACAAAACCGCGATCATCAGGCCTCGACAATCGAACCTCCACCCCCAGCCATGATTCCAAGGCGGATGCAGCCGCGGTAACAAGAGGCGCCCCCCAAAGGCCCCTAGAAGAGGACCAAGCGCCCACAGAAAGCGCGATCACCGAGCCTCGGTCCTCCGCCCCAGCCAGGATTCCAAGGCGGATGCATCCGCGGTGACAACAGGCCTCCCGTAGGCCCCCCCAAAGAGGACCACGAGCCAACAAAACTGCCATCATCGAGCCTCGAACTTCCCCCAGACCAGGACTCGAAGGCGGATGCAGCCGTGTTGACGAGAGGCCTCCCAGAGGCCACCCCAAGAGGACCACGAGCCCACAAGAACCGCGTTCCACGAGCCTCGATCCTCGAACCT